CCCCATCCATCAGGCAGCCAGCGAGGCATCAGGAAGGAATGATGGATGTAAAATTATTACAGGGCTGCCACCCGATATACTTACTGCCATTTGTAACTAACGCTGGAACTGACACACTTTTTTCATTATTAAACATCCACATTAAGTCAACATTGGTCACTGTCATTTCATGTTTGGCACTCTCTTAAGGGGAAGAGGGAGAGGTGGGAGTGGGGAGGAGGGTGGGAGGTGGGGTGTGTGGGAATGGGAAGGAAAGGCACCTGAACCCGGAGTTCCACAAGCATGAGTAATAAATAGGCTCCTGCTTTACAATGCTGGAATAAATATTGTTACAAATAGCTCTTTAGTTACAGCCCAGCAGACAAGTACATGTCAGAGCCTTTTAAAAGGACACACTCCAAGCGCTCACAGGGAGAACTGGTATCACAGGTTAAGAAACACTTCAGCACAGGAGGTATACGTATTCGGATGCACTCATCGCAGAGCATGCTATGAGTGTGACCGCGTCTGTACACACCTGAAATGCTGGTGCGGCTGTGTACGCTCACACAACTGTCCCAGTCGCCTTTAGCAGCGGGCACCAACATTCGAAAAACAGCACCTGCATTTGTAGCAGTGTACACAGGCACATGCTCAAACACCTGCTTGCGTGCTCCCTTCCTCCTTTTTTACAGTTCCCAGGGTACATACACAAACATTTGAGAGTCTGACTATATTCAAAAAGTTATTGGCTAGCTCAGCGCGTGTTTGTGCTGTGTATCTCTGAAAGAGTGCACTGTAGGCTTGTATGCATGCACACACATGCTGGCTCTTTGTGTTTGTGTACATCTCCTTTGCAGAGGAACAGGCAGTTTTGGGACCGAACAAATAGACCAGAGTCCACTTGCTGATGTTGCCCGTTGCGGTGTTTGCACTAGATGACAATCTGTGCTCTGAGCTACATGTATAAAAGGTAACATTGTTTATGTATAGTACATATCAAGCTATAATTAACTGTAGATGACAATTACAAATAAAACTATGCTCCTGGGTTTCCAAGAAACCAGAAAAACATATACACACACTTCTCATTTATACACGGAAATGTTTCCAAGAAAAGTAATGTAAAAATATGTTTTATTGCATTTGCAATTAAAATAGGTTTTAGTAAAATCCATGTTCACCATGATGCTCATAGTTTTTACTGTAATCCTCTGAAAATCAAATCCCTCAAGATGGTCCAAGTTGGATGCCCATGAAGTGACTCACCCAAATCATCCTAGCAGTTTTTTAAAAATCTTTTCTCATTTATGACTCCTTTTATACAGTTTCTCTCCAATTCCACAAAATTCCTGTCTGACTACTGCCTTACAGCTGGCAGGTCTGGCTGTCCACAGGGATCAACCCATCTGGGAACATGAGACAGACAACAGGTCATGCCCATGTGTGGAGAAAAGCCCCAAGAGCCAGAGACTCACAGAGGTGATTTCCAGCCCTGAGCCTTCCCAGCTACCCCTGGCAGATAAATCCCTACCAAGAATGTAACATATGCATTCAGAACTGCACAGAGCTTACCTTCGCTGCTAGGTGCAGCAGCAATTCATGCAACAAAAAACTCAACAGGTCTCAGAGAATCATAGCTCTCCATAACTACACTAGCCACTGCAGCAAAGAAGGGAGGAAAATTTGGGATAGCCCCAGATGAGTATTTGTTGCCTATAAAGATTGAGATCACTCTACAGGAAGGAGAGTCTTTCTTCTGTACATAACTATAAACGTAATGTACCTTTCTAAGTACAAATATGCCCACGGACACATAGCTACATTATGCTAACCCTCTTTTAATTCCATTCCGCACCTCAAAATCTCCCTGTCGGGAAGCAACCAGTGAACAAACGTTAACATCCCGAAAGTTCAGGGGGCTGCCTCTAAGTCCTCCGGCAGGACCCTGAGCTTCTGAAGGGAAACCCTCAGGGGTAACATTGCAGCACTTTATTTCTCACTACCCACCGTCCCAACGCTTTTTCTTTCCCTTGAAAACAGGGAAAAACAGAATAAAATCTAATTGAAAATGGCACTACTTTCCTTCCTCTCAAATCTTGCTCTTAATAAGAGAGAAAACTTTAAGAGTCCTAGATCAAACAGACATAAACTTTAGAGAAATTGGGGTGTTTGGATCTGAACTTCACAGCTGGCTGGTCAGTGGACAGCCTAGAGCACATATAGGAAAGGAGAACAAGTACCTAAACTTCACAGCCTACATCTTTTCCTCTGCTGGGTGAAATGTCAGAGACAGCTCAGGAGACCCTACAAGTTAAAAAGTACAACTTCTCAGCTAGTGCTTGGTGGCTTAAGTGGTCACCCCAGCACCTCAAATGCCACTATAGTCTAGGAAAGCTCAGACTTGGTTCTGTCCTTTCCTGTCTCTAAAATAAAATAAAATAAAATAAAAATAAATCACTGCACCACAATAAGGCTTTGGCATTTATTGTCTCAAAAACCCCAACCCCTACCATTGCTTTATAAAAATTTTCAATTGAGCAAACAATTTTTTCTTCCTGCTACCTTGTAAAAGAACTCCTCTCTGCCCTCCACGAGCCCACCAGGAGGCATGAATTAGAGAGGAAAATAAACTTCAACTGGGGTTGAGGGTGAGAAGTGAAAACAGAAGGGGTAAGGAGAATCCCAACAATAGGAAAGTAACAGAATAAAGTGAATGCAGATGGTTCCACTCCTGTTACTTAATCAAAAGGCTGTGCAGAGTCACTAGAGCCAGCATAAAGTCATGTGTTAGAACAACAGCTGATCTGTATTAAAGAAGATTAACTCGCAATGCCATGGTGGAGGGCCTGGGATTATTTTATGTACTTCCATTGCCGAACAAGCCGTCAGCACAATTACTGCCCTCCGATGTGAATGACTGATCTGTAACCACAGCTAAACAGCATGCTGCTTAGGGGCCTGGGTGCTTCATGAAGATGAATTTCCATACCATCAAAGTGCTTTTAATGGGCTTCCTGATCCAACCACAAGGCCTGCTTTGCAAGTATATAGAACTCAGGATGAAGGCTTCCTGTCCAAAAGGATTTGGTCGGTTGTCACTTGACAATTCCCAGCCAGCACAAGGGAGGAGAGGGGGGAGATAGGTAGAGTTGTCTCTGCTTTGGAGGATTAAAAAAAGAGAAAAAAAAAGGGTACAGATGCTTTCTGAATGCAACCAACTGCTGTATCCACAGCTGAATTCAATGCGCTTAACAAATAACGGCAATTTAGCTATGCTTGCGAGGAATAGCTTGAGTCACTTTGCATTAGCATCTGGCTGAGTGTTAAAGTCATTTCTACATGGGGAGCAGAGAAAAGAAATTTCTGCTCCGAGCATCCTTTCAAGAATGCTTAAATATTTGAATATAAATTCCTTTGTGCTTGTGATCACTTCTTCTTATATCTGACACTCTGCTTTTCCCTTTTCCCTTCTGCTACTCTTCTATATGAAATGCCGTAAACAGGCTCCATCCCTCTCTTTCTTTTCTCTCTCCCCATACCGGTGCTCTTATTCTTCTAAGAGAGATTGTATGTACTGCCAGATACCTATTACACCGACCTCTTTTTTCCTTCCCCTTCCTCTCAAGAAAGTGCATGAAATTGGAGTAATTTCTACAACACTTACACCCAGGATAGGCTGATGAAAAAAGTACAGTAGTGAGAGACTCACATGTACATTTAACATTCATTACCCAGACTGCTGGCTTCTCACAGCTTATTGATCAAACTCCATCTAAAAACAGGGAAAATGGAAAGCTATCCAAATTAGCAATCTGCTCATTCTGGACAATATTGTTTGACTCACAAGCTTCCTAGGATGACTGACTTTCAAGTTTCTGCTCAATAGCTGATCATTTTTATTCATTCTATTTATCTGCCTATCTCAGTGATTCACACAAGGCCTCACAGTGAAAAGCCACTAAAAGCAGTTTCAATAAAATTCAGTTCACACCAAATGCAACAACGGTCATCTTTGTTGTGCTGCATGACGATTTCTGTATCACCTCAGAAAATATTGCAGGGGAAGAGAGGAATTGAGGAAAAAGTCTGGCTAAGCATATGATGTTGAGATGCATGCAAGAGTTTGGATGTAGATCTTAGGTGGCAGTATTGCAAGGACAGCTCGCTGTAAATGTGGCAGCAAAGACTGGCAGGTCTATTTATCCTCCGAAAGCCAGGGCAGCGCATGGAAAGACATCAGGTATTTCCAGAGAAAAGCAGCAAATCACGACCTCTTTGACATACGCAATGGTTACAGCACATACAAATTTTACTAGAGAATATTCACTTTGTCAATATTTTGTTATAGCACAGCTTCACAGGCCAGTTCAAAAGCAGAAGGTGGTAAGGCCCATACATTCTGCTGCCTCTAAGTTTCACTGCAAATATCTGGTGCAGTTTGTGTTGTCAATTCTCCATTTTTTCAATTTTATTAAGTCATCTAACGTGACATGACAGTGCTACATTGCAATGGTCACAAAATATCATATATGACAACCTCACAAGGCTAAATACCCAGAAGCTGAGCCTGAGTATCAGCAAAGCTTACGTTCCTAAAGAAGCTTGAATATTTTCAAATCCAGCTCATCTCACAAACACATGTAAGCATTTCCATAAAGCAAGATTTCCACTTAGACCCTGAGATTTCAAAGATCACCTCCTCATAATACACGTTGACAGGCTGGAACTTGGAATTAGTGGCCTCCAAAGTTCTCGTGAGGGCTTTAACTATCTCTGCCTCTTCCCCTCTCTCCCCCCAAGGGTCTCCAGGTCTCTCTCTCATGCCATCTTTTGGTTGTGGTTTTCATTTTACTTGTAACTTTTTTTGAAAGAAGCAACTATTATGTTTAAAAATGGGGAAGAAGAAAATAGAGCAAGGAAAAGGAGGGAAAAAAAAGAGAAAAGGAAGAACCTATGTATCTGCAGGGAAAGCCAAATGCAATCTCTCACGCTTCGCAAAGGGAGCCTCAGAAACTCACCTTTTCTGTCCTGCAGTTATTGAGACCCAGGCTATTCACAACGGCCACCTTCCCATCCAGCACCTGTTGTTCCCTCCGAAGTTGCTCCTTCATCTGTCGGGCCTCCTGGATCGCCTTGGTAACAGCATCGTGGTCATTTAAATAACCTGACGACGTGATAGAAGAAAGGATGTCTTAAAAAAAGAAAGTTACAAGAAAACACTTTAGCTTGCATTGATGAAATGCACCAACGGTTATTAATTATTATTAACGAGCGTTAAAAGGTAATGCCCAGAAACCAATCCGTACTGTGTAATTCTCTTATTGTTACGATAGAGCCACCTGGATAGAAAGCATGAGAAACCTCAGCGCCAAAATCATCGGCCTGATATGTGATCCCATTAGTCTCAATATTTCCCTGACGCTGCAGAGGTTAGCCCTGTGGTTTGTATGCAGCAGGATGTAACCGGATAAGAGTTAGGGGAAGCTTTGATCATGCCAGCAATCCCAAACTCTTAAAAATAGACCATTTCATTCTTCCCCTTCTTAAAACTTGTGAATACATTAAAATAAACCACAGGTGGCGGTGGTTTGCTATAGATATGAAATGCATAATGGCTGGGAAGAGAAACCTCATCCACTGAATGCTCCCCACCACCACCTGTCATTCAGAAATGTATAAGAAACCACAGCTACATGGACCTACATTCCCACTCCTATTCATGCTGCTAATAGTAGGTCAAATGTCCACTGTTTTGCTGCAAATTCACAGCCTAGGGCTTAGCCTTAGTAGTCACTGAATTATTTCCTTTTAAAATGTTACAAGCATCACCGGCACAGCTAATACTATTTAATTTTAAATGTGACACTTTGTCATTTTTTTCTTTTAGCGTACTGTAGATTATACTTATTATGATCTGCATGTGATTTGTAGGATAGAATACTGATGGGAGACTCCAAGCCCCAGTCTATTTTTCAAACATTAAAGGAGAGGCTAATATCTATCAATCTCCCTCCCCCTCTCCACATCCCCACACGCGCACGCACGCACACACTTCTTTCTGTCTTTTAACTAGGGCATAAAAACGGCATAAAATGAATCTGTAATATGAAATTGCCCAGAAAAGGGACTTCTGTTTGTGACATGAGGCTAAATCTAACCAGATCCATTGGTGAATTGTGACAGATGGAGGGACTGTGAGACAGAAGGCAGGCACTAATCACACACAAAATGACCGGCTTGCCTCAACATGTTCCATGGATTCCAGCAAACTTTACACCCTAATCCATTTTTAGAACAAAAAACATCTGGGCCATAAATCCTCTAATCTGCCAAAACACGCTATTAAATCCCATGATTTGTTGAAAAACACTAAGATTAAAGAAAGGAAATATAAAATGGCTAACTGCCGTGTTAGGAAAGTGTTATTAATACTCTTTCTTTGTCTCAATTATGAATGTTCTGTTCCTAAAGAGCCTTGTCTAATCATGTCAGATTACACATCCTTGTTGTATTGCTAGACTCTTCTATCTGATCCGCTGATTGCCAAAAAACATAGGACATTGTCTTGCTGCTTAAAACATTTCAGGGGAAGAAGCTGATGTCAGATTAGTTCAGTGCTGCGTTGCTATCAGGATTTTAGTTTCGTTTGGGGTTTTATTGTTGTTTTTTTCAGACTGCAGACAGAATGGGACTGGTATACCTCTCTTCCTTGGTGCGCAAAAACTAAGAAAAGTTTCTGTGCAGTTTGACTGTTGTTAATTGTAGTAACAGTTAGCTTTTGGCTAAATACCCAGGAACCCTGAAAGTTTTGTACGAAATAACTCGATCCATGTTGCTTTTATCAAATGACCCAGTTCAGTAATTCCCAGCCAATCGAACTCCAGTAATTCCAGCTTTCCCAGCATAAGGAAGGATATAACCTGCACCAGCACTATGCTACCAGCTGATTTTTTTTTTCACCTCCATTTTATCAACTTGCTGGGTTTCTTCCCCACTTTGCATCTGTTACTGATCAAGCTTGCATGTAGTCAGAATAAATTAAAAAGGAAGCAAACAAACAAACAAACAGACAGCAGTATTACTGCTGGTTGTGCTCTTGATTAGGCTAGGTATAATACTTTCAATCTGTAATAGAGCCGAATTTGCCTAGGAACTGGAATTCATGCCCTTCTCCAGACTATTTGGCTTTTCCTGAATACTGCTATCTTTGAGACAGTTTGGCACATGACAGTGAATAAAAGCAAGCACTCCTTATGTTTTTCAGTAGCTGCCAAGATGCTGGTGTGCAGGGAAATGATTAATATAGAAGTGAGTTGAATGTAAATTATTGTTGTTTAGGGTAGGTGGTGAATTATTGACAGAGAGGGGAACTGCATTACATAAAATGCACTTAGTTACAAGGATTGCCAAACTAGCAAAGAGATGTTGAAGATAATGGCAAAGGGCAGAGAGAAGTTGTTTCTGTTTTTAGTACACGGACATATGCCTGTTCCCAAAAAGAAATGCTTGGATTTAAAGTCATACATGAAGCCACGACATTTGTGACTGCTCAGTCTGTGGCATAATTTATACGCTATAAGGATAGCTCTAGAAAAGGACTACGTAGCTGTATGCCCGAATGCAGCTACACTCTTAATCACAGGAGGCTGTAAGTTTATGTCCTCCGAAGACAACTGAACAATACACGAGCATCTCTCCGTGCCATGGGCGCCGAGCAGCCTGAAGAACTGCTTTCAGAGAACGGTTTTAATCTGAAGTTAGTGGCAGCGAAAAGTGACAGCTCAGCCTCACCCCAGCAAGGTGGGGTGTGCACGCCTAGGATGGACAACTTGGGCCTCGCATCGACAGCTCCCATCATTCAAATGGTGGAAGTAACTGTCTGGTAAATGACTGCATGTTTCCCAGTGACTTTTTGCAGAGGGATTCATCTCTAAAGATAAAAAAGTAATCCGGTTTATCATTTTTAGGGACCTTAGCTAAAAACGCTACCAAATGTTTTTGTGGTGTAGCTCCTACTGGAGGGTGACTTGAAATTTCATGCTTACTTTTTTAAGATCACCAAATTATTTCAACGTGGTAATGAGTTTTGCTTGCTGTAACTTTGGTTGGATATGACCTAGCAGTGAGCAGGAAAAGACTCCGTAGAGCGTTCACAAGCCTTTCGTTCTTCTCCATTAAAGGATAAACCTTTGTTAGAAGTAGGCTATGTCTGTCCAACTCCTGCACCAGTTAAAGACTGCTTATCTTATATATACAGCACGCACAGTGATACTGCTCAGCAACCTCAAAAAGTCACTTTCTATATTTGTAGCTGAGAGATATACAGCAGTGAACTCTATGTCATTAACAATAACTTAAGTATGTTATCTTTTGCTCCACAGTTTTCCATGGTTTATTAATGGTATAACACATTAATTCTTCTTACAAGAGTGACCTTTAAAGCTCCATTCATCCTCACAGCTTTTATCCAATTACATTATCACTCATTACAGGTACAGCATTTCAAAATCTGCATTTTGTTAAAAGAAGTAAATTGCAGGGCCCTCAAACCTATGAAAAATATCAGGTGTGTAGGAAAAGAAGATTGGAGAGGAGAGAACAAGAGATGTCCTGTCACTGAGATGCAGGTCAGATGCTTAACTCCACATCTAAATGTGATGCTCACTATATTAAGGAAAATTTCATGTGAAAATATTGAAACTTGGTGCATTGTACATGGAGAGCAGTAGGGCAAGCAAATTAAAGATAAAATACATTATTACCTACCACAGTTAAACAGTGTAGGGTTAATAACACATGCATTAGCAATTAACAATGTGGTATTTACAAAATATTTATATAATTGTAACATGTCATACCAAATAAAGTTATTTTCATTTCTAAAAGGCATAGAAGCATATTATTTGTCCGATATATGTAACTCTCATCAACATTAGCAATAATCGTGTAAGCACAGTGGGAGAGTAATACAGTGGGAGCTAGATCTGGACATAAGTATGGGTCTTCCTGGTGTCTCTGTAGGTAAAATATGGACTACAGAGAGCTTGGGAGAGGCCCATAGAGATACAAAAAGATATTACTACATAGTGGTATGTAGTATCAGATACCACAGAAACAGCTTCTGATAGGTTTGACCTATGGCTTCTTTTGGGTTTTGTGCCATCCCTGAAAGCAGCCAGCAGGAGATGCTTTAGGAGCAGTAAGACACACAGTAGCAAAGGTACAACTATCTACCTCACTTAATTCCCTAAACAGAACTTGATTTACATGCTGAAATCTTAATTCAGGTTATTTTTGATCACTTCATGGAATAAAATGTTTCAGTAACAATGATGATGAATGGGCCACGTACACATTTTGTTTATACACCCAAAGAGTGTTCCCTTTAACACATCAGACTTGTAAAATCACCACCAGGACCGTTATTATTTAGATGGTCTTTAGGCAAATAGGTAGTTTTGGCAAGAGGAAGAATTAAAGCTATTTTCTGGAACAGTGTTAAAAACAGCCAGTCAAGATTTTTTTGCAAGATACAACATCAAACGGTTTTTTGAATGAACCTGGTGACCGTTTTCCTTATTAGGTAGAATAATGCTCCATGCAGCTTTTTAGCGGACTAAGAATTAAACTTGGAATTTTGCAAAGATGTATTTGCCTATGTAGACTTTTCACTTAAAGGGAATTTTTTTAAAGTTTATCCATCACTTTTCGATGACACAGTACAATATCATGGGTCTTTAAGGCTCACCATTAGACGGGTCGCTGTCTTTAATGTATGCCATTAAACTAACAGCATTTATTAACTTTTATTGATAAAGCAGTCTCTGAAATAACACAGGTCTTTGTTTCCCGAGTCTGTAAAAGTTAAGATACTCCTCCCTAAATGGTAAGTCTGTGGGAGTTTCTTTACTGACATCAACAAATGTAGTACTACGGTCAACCCCTGACAGCTCATAGACCCACTGTCTGGCACTGTCTGATAAATGCCCACTCTCCAGTAACATCTATTAATCATATAAGGAGGAATAAATTAAACACAGAGCTTACCTATTGTGTTAGCTCTGGCCGAAGGACTAGCTAATGTTGCTGGCACGGAGGATTTTAGTGAACTGGCCCCACTATTTATTCTCAGAGCTGGCATGTGAGGGGAGGTGGGTGATGTGGGAGACTTGCCATCAGATGTCTTGGGTTTGGCTGAAAGGTTCAGAGGCTGGGCCACTTCATCCTACGATGAGCAGAAGAGAAAAGAATGTTATTAAAAAACTGCTGTTGGCACAACACCGTCCAAGCAAAGACAGTTGTTTTCAGCTCATATGAACTTCTAAACCAGAAAGGTTGTATGGTATATATTAAGATCAAACGTGATACCATCTTGTCATTTCAGTGTGGAACTGAGATGACTGATAAACTGGAAAATTAGCATGACATGATCAGAGAACATTCTCCATTTGCACTTTGTATGTAAGAATCGTCTCTAAAGAAATTACTCCCATCAACAAGATATATGCTTCTATGATGGAAATGAAGAGCATTTTTACAGTTATATTTTACTCTTATTTTATTTTAAACTCGATATGGATGGATGAATTAAAAACTGAAGAGCATTTTCACTTAAAATTCAATCGTCGCCACTCAAATGGGGCAAACGTATGCAAGTGAATGGGTTTTCAGTTGGGGTTTTTTGTTGGTTTTTTTTTTTAGTATTTGTGCTTTCCTCTGAACTTCCCAGGCTTAGAATTCCAAGCACAAAAATATCATAGGAAATAAATACTTCTCTCCCACCACAACAAGATAGCAGGAAGAACCTGCCCTTTCATTCCACAAAACTCAAAACAATAACCTGGATAATTCTGCATAAGCCCTTAGATTTTTTCATCTTCTGCAGAGCTGAACGTCAAGATTTTAGTAATTATTATTACGTGAAAACAGAAAAATCGGGTGACATTTTTTGCAGGGTAACTGGAATTATTCCTAAACCTGGCTTGATTACACAGAGTAACAGACAGTGCTATAAAACACATGAAAATTCTAAGTCATGTATTTTTGTTTGACCAAAATAAAATACAGTAAGGGGAAAAATAAAAAAAAACAGGGAAGGGAGAAAAAGCTTTTCAACAAGGGGGATATTTTAGAAGTGATTTTAATGGACTTTTAAATAACCAGAACTAATGGATATGGTATTAGATCCAACCATCACATACTAGCTTAGCCATCCTTTAGCTACAGGAACTGTTACATCACACCATTGGGTTTTGGCTGCAGGCATTGAAGCAGCTGATTCTGATCTCCCTAAGTTGTAAGTACCTTCAGTTTTATAGAATTATTCCTGACTTAGAGCAATGCAAAGCTGACTGGAATTAGACTCATAATGTTTGAGTGTTTTACCGTTACCACTAAGGCATCTGTAACTACTATCATATAATAGCGATTCTTTTCCACAGAGGGTGGTGTGCTGCAGTAAAGAAGGAATTTTATAGTTGCCTATCGCTTGTGGAAGTATGATGTAGATGTACGTCTCCAAACACAGGACAATTCTGCAAAGCACTGTCATAGAACTTTTCCACTACTTTAAAGAAGCAAGCTCTGAACAAAGCACTTTTGTTATATTTGATTATTTCTATACTTTTGTAATAGTCGTAGTTAAAAATAAATTAAAGCTTAGCAGACCAACATATCAGGGACATCATGGACAAAGTTGTCATCCTTAAAGTGGTATTCAAGCCATCCTAGATGCAACTTGTGCATAAAATAAAGGGGAAAAAATCAATGCATGAAATTGCCGTAGGAGCCTGTATTCTGTATTCTCAGAAGTGACTTAGGCACCTAGAAGGCAGAGTTCTGCTGATCTTCTAGGAGACTTAAGCCTCAGGGTTAAAAATGTCACCCAGTTCAACCCACATTTGATGCTTTAAGAAGGTATTCGTTACTTTACAGAAATACAAATCCATCTGTATGAGAATAAAATAGATTAACCTACTAGCCAAATGGAAGGGAACTTGCTCTGCTGTTCCACCAATTTCAATTAAATAATAATAAAAAATAATCCCACAGCAATGTAACTATAATGTTGTAAAATCACTACTGAGATAGTTGCATAAGTGTGTAAGTACAAACTAGCCAACAAACCGACCAAACACAACGACGCTATGTCAGACAAGGATCCCTGAAGAGCAAAGTCATCATTTAGAAGGCAGCATCAGAAGCAAAGCAAAGGGGCCCACAGACTTGTTTCAGTTCAATCCAAGAGGGGTTAGTTTCCATGTATATTCAATTCTTGACCTCTGTTGTAAGTCTCAACAAAAGGGGCTGATTAGTTTCAGATACGGTAATGAAAGCTGCAGCGTGTTCTCTGGCCACTGGAAATCTGAGTGTGAGCAGCACTTCAGTCCATACGGAGCAGCAACCAGTCCCTGGTGGGAAGGGTGCTCACTCGCTGCAAACTCAGCTTGGACTCCAACCCGCACCCTCGTGCTGAAGGGCTTTTTTCAGTCTCATCCTTTCGACTCAATCCCTCGGCTATCCTGTCCCTCTAAAGTTTATTTCCTTCCCTTCTCTTGCTCCTTCTTCCTTTCCTCAGTTCTTCTGTTCCCTTTTTTTAGCCTGGTGTGAAGGCAAGATCCTGTGCAAGTCTACTATAGAACAGTGGGTTTGCTCTCATTTAATGCAATTTGGAAATGGGGGAGGTGGTTTGTTGGTGGTTTTTTTTTTTCCATCGCAGGCGTCCAGCAATGAAGCTGTCTGTGCTGTAACTATTCTTGGAAGTAAGAATGCTCTTCTTCATTCAAGTCAGCACAGCCTTCTCTGGAGCCAAGAAGTATAAGGCCTTGTGGAAATAATAGAAGTCGACAGTTCCAGAGCTGATAAATGTCATTCCAAATTGCCCCTTCATTCACTTTCATTGTGTGTTCAGGCTAATGGTAAATTAATCGGAGGTCACAGAAGCTTGGTTCTCATAAAGGAGGATAAGTAAACAATTTTCAGCTATTATATGTATTTACAAAATTATATTACTTCACTGTTTGGTCTTCATAACATTTTTACTTGTGTTATTTCAGAGAGCATTCTCAAATCCTCGCTGGAAGTCAAATACATTAAAAATTCAGTCAGAGGGTTTAGAAATCCTATGTTGGATCATGAGCTGATAATAATTTAAGTCATTTCCTTTACCACAGTGGAACTACACTGATTTATTCCATGGGAGTCTAAAAAATATCAGGGAGACACTTAATAATATACAATTGTGCTAAGTGTGAAGATGACTGTTAGGATCTTCACTCCTACACTCAGCAAGCCATTTTACTCTTTTTCCTATCTGTAGACATAAATTCAAAATTCTCTGCTCTTCCAGTTTAAATCATGAGCTGTACTGTCTTCATTATTGATTTGTGCCTGCATAACCACGAGAAGAATTAGGTGTTGGCCTACCTTTATTTTTAACTATGAAATCTCCTAGCTAACATTTGCCCACGTTATAGATTAGCAGGCTTCACTCTCAGTTATATCAAGGCTGTGTGTAAGTGCAACGTGACAGCTAGGGCAAATAAGAGTAGTAAGAAGAAAAAAATAGATGTAGCATGTTCACTCCAGGTAGCTGGTATCTTTCAACAGCCAGGAGATGCGATTTTATACAGTGGGATCACAGAATCTAGAACTACTCCCTGTACTTATTTTTATTAGAGAAAGTTCAGTATTGATTGGGCCTTGCCTTTTTTTGACATGCAGTTATTCTAAGATGCCACTGATAAGGGTTTTTTTTCCAAGCCAGTATTTTTAAAGAGTTAAACAAAGTCGAACATTTATTTATATATCAGCCAAAACGATTAATGCTTAGACCAGAGGACGTTAAGACCCAAAAGGCTTGTAATAATATAAACACAGATGTGATGAAAGTAACATATAATCTTGATTAAAGTTTATGAAATGTTTCCTTTAAAGTAGCGCATTTGTCTAACAAAACAAAACACACACAAAAAAAATAAATGTAGAGAATAAAGCATAAGCGAAAACACACGATGGAGGGCTAATAAAATGAAGTACCCACAGCAAGAGCAAAGCGTTGGTAAAGAGATTCCCATCCCCTGTACCACAGCAGTGTCAGAAGAGTTGCTATTTTAGGGAGAGCTGGTGGTTTACTTCCCTGGATTGGAAGTCTGTCATTAACCAAAACTTTGGAGCTTGGGGAACTTTAAATCGTTGACTTGCTCTAGATTTTTTCCCCAGCTGATCTCTAGATGTACAAGGGAAGAAGCAGGAACCCTTTGCCTACACCAGAATTTGAAGGGTAAACAAAATATTCAAGAGCTGTATTTTGTAGCTTCACTCAAGCTGGATCTGTGTAACTTTGAGATTTCATACTTAAGCATCAGACTTTGGAAATCTGCAAATACAAGTTCCTGACAAGCAACATTGAAGCAGAAATATTGCTGGTAAGTTGAGTGTGCATCACGCTGCTTTTATAAGGTTTGTACAGTCCTTTGAAAAGGTAAAATGCTAGGTAAACATAAAGTCCTTGTTAATACGGGAAGAAAAAATGCAAGAGAGAGAAAAAGAAAGCATTTGGTTACAGTCATACAGTAACATAGTAGCAGAGTTTCAGATAGAGCCCAGAATTCTGAGTCGGTGTCACCCATGTTGCAAACACTTGGCTGAAATGGTGTCTTTCCTAAATCTTTCAATCATGCTGTCTCTATTTACTTACTTCCTCCTAAAATAACCGGTTAATTTATCTCTATGGAGAATGGATATGGAAAAAGAAGGGAATAAAATCTGATTTTGAGAATCTCTCTAAACCGTTTATTAAAAATGGCACTATTTCAACACCAAGCGCTGAATAAAAGACTGATAGCCCAGATGAATGAACGAGTCTCAGAGAAAGGAAAAAAAGGGTGGTCATGGGGAAGAACCCAGACAATTCATTTAAATTTAATAATCTCACTTCTTTTCACATATTTTAAAGATTAGTATACTATTAGAGTAGAGTTACTGAATTATTGTCCTGTCATTTAAATCCAAGTGCTGTATCCCACTGTGGCACACACTGAAGGTCCAGGTTGCACGGTTTATTACAAACTCATGAACTACTCTGTGCATCATCTGACTGGCAATACAAATGCGCTTAAACGACCTGGCATAAGCACAGCCTAGCATGCTCTACTAAAGAGGCTTTTCATGACCTCTGGGAACACATTCGCCACATCTTGCTGCCTATTTAAATGACCTTGACAG